ACTGACCACCAGTGTAAGAGACTCTTCTTCTCTGACCACCAATGTCAAGAGCACATCTCCTCTGATAGCCAAATGAATACCCTTCACTGCCAGTTAATGAAACCGGTTACTGTAATGACTAGGGATGCACCGATACCGGTATTTTGGTACCGAGTACCGATAATTTTTTTTAGGTAGTCGCCGATACCAATTACCGAGTAACGGGAGTCCCATTCAGGAAGCCAGGTGGCGTGTAATGACTCGCCACCCAGCCTCCCGATTAACAAAAAAGTCCCCTCTTACCTTAGTATGTGCAGCCTGTCATCCCCTGGGGCCTCTCAAGCGAGAACGCGGCCTTCGTCCGGTACCCAGCCGGAGGCGTCTAGCCGGCCAATCAGGAAGCCAGGCGCCGTGTAATGATGCAACGCCCTGCTTTCTGATTGGCCGGGAGGCCGGCTCCATGCTCTCATCATGAGATGACGAGGGAGCATGAAGCCAGCTTCCCGACCAATCAGAAAGCAGGGTGTCGCGTCATTAGATGGCGCCCGGCTTCCTGATTGGACGGCTCGGGCTGGGTACCGGACGAAGGCCGCATTCTCGCTGCAGGCCCTGGGGGATGACAGGCTACACATACTAAGGTAAAAGGGGACTTTTTTGTTAATCGGGAGGCCGGGTGGCGACTCTTTACAGCCTGCCTGGCTTCCCGGCTAATCAGGAAGCCAGGTGGCGAGTCATTACACGCCACCTGGCTTCCTGAATGGGACTTCCGTTACTCGGTAATTAATATCGGCGAGTACCGGAAAAAAAAAGATACTAGTATCGGTCTCTGTGCATCCCTAGTAATGACCATCAATAACAATATAATGGTGCATTAATTAATAATGAGCACCAATGCAGTGAGGCATCTCACCAAGTTCAAACCATAATGGGGCAAGTCAACACTATCCACTTACTGTGAATGTAACAGGAACATTATATTGACTATCGGTGAAGCAAGGCATTTTGCTACAGACTACCTATACAGCATGGGCCCTTCTCCATTAACTAGCAATGTAAGGGGGGCTTCTCCACTGACCACTATGTAACATGAGCATTTACATTAGCCTCTGATGTAAGGGGGTACATAGGCCACCACAGAGCACCTGTGCGTTGTAGTCATATATTAGTGTGCAATACAGTTAACTGCTCACCAGCTACCTGTTGTGGGAGAAATGCTAGGTTCCTCAGAATTTCCACAGGAAAGGGGAGGTACCATTGAAGGTGTCAACGTTTTGCTATGAGGCCCTGTGATTTGAAATAACTCACCTATTCAATCATACCCTGCTGCTAAAATTATGCAAGAAGTTTTTTGATGATTTTGTTTTCCTCACTCTAGATATTTCCCTTGCTTAAAGAAAATGAAAGTACATAAAAAAGACACATTGTTAAAATTAAGGTGCTTTTAAACCTAAAAACAAAAAGTTAATTATTTTGGCTTACCAGTCCTTAGATGGGGTTGCGAATTTAATCTTTTTCAGGCTTTTTTTTCCCCCTGGTAACCTTGTCACTAACACATTTTATGTTCTAGAGAGAAAACACTTATACTGTATCTATGGAGGACCAGTGTTGTAATCCTAGGGCAAGAAGTGTGTTAGGACTAAAGAACACATTCCTCTCTACTCTTCTCAATATTATAGAGGGAAGGTGTTTTTTGTTTTTTTTTTGTAGTCCTAACATACTTCCTAATAAGATTCCTAATAAGATTTTTTTTAAGTAATACTGTGGAATGCACAGGACAGGGCACAGTAATAGATTTCTGGCAGTACCAACAGGCTTTTTTATGCTCTCAAGAAACAGATATAGCAATGCTTTACTGATTTAACAGACCAACTGAAGCAAATCAGAAGTTCACTGTTTGGGTTTATATACACTAATAAAAATAAATAGAATATACCTTTTTATATACTTGGGTAGAATGGTGACTCCCAATAGAAAAAACATCATTACAGAACATGTAATCATTCCAATGCCCAAGCATACTGCTCGTGTCTCGCCTCGCTTTTGAGCCATGAAAAGTTTTTTCCCCATCTTAAATTCATTTATGGACTTCAGGCGATAATTATTTCATCTGTTTACAGAGAAATTTTGTTTTCTATCTGGCTGTAAGTAAAGATATCAAAATGCATAGATTACATTCAACAGAGAAATAAAACATCACATAGTTAAAGCGGACCTTTACCCATATCTTTAAAATAACAACAGATACACCTTTAGAAATGTTTAATAATGACAATCTACAAACAGATACTTCTAGATAATTGCAGGTGTTGTATTATTTGCATACCTTATTTCTCTTTTTTCCCCCAGTCTTCTGACAGTGGCCATGTTTACTAAGCAGATTACCAGCTCTCCTTTTACTTCCTGGATTTCTGCCACATGTGACTAGGACATGACCATGCACATCAACTCAGGGGAGAAAAATGCCTTTCCTTGAGATCTCGAGAGATTACAGAAGAGATTTCCCAGCAATGCTCTGCTGATGACAGGGCAATGCCAGTGTGCATTGATTTGGCAAACTGAAGTCATTTTGCCCTTTCAAGGCAGGAAATGAATGCTCTACAAGCGTAAGTATTTCAAAATCACAGCATGTTACACCTGACGGGTCTGTTATTATTAATCATCATACATAGCGGCATGCATTGGTAGAATTAGATTTTTGAGTGTAAAGGTCCTCTTTAAACAGAGGTAAAAAGATCAATAGTCAGAACTGCCATATCGATTAGAAACATATGCAGTCCTGCTAATATTACATGTATTCAGAAATACTGCAGCTAATTAAATAGCTTAATGTTTTGTTTTTTTTGTATTCGTAAACAAAACATTTACATTATATTGACTTACTCCAATTCGCTTTTTAATTGAAGGCATAACATAGGCGCTACTTCCCCCACTCCTCCCGCACTAGCAACGGGACAGCAAGCCGACTTGTGGTTGCAATCTACCAGCTTTGGGAACAACTGGTAGATTATGATCGACCTCATGGGCAGTTTGCAACTTGATCTCTGCGGCAAAGCTCAGGCTTCTGCACATTCTCTCCCAGGCAGAGCTCCGTACTGATATACAGAGTTTCAGTTAGGGAGATGGATGGCTGGATTTCAAACTGGGTTAAATCACCTCCATACAGTGTCCAGCCATAATATGGACGGCTCTACTGCATCTAACCAGAGGGCGGATGGCTGGGCTCTGTATGAGGTAATTTAATGCACTTTAAAGTCCAGCTGTCCTTCCCCCAACTCTCCTAACTGAAACTCCATACCTTAGTAGGAGCTCTGCCCGGGAAAGAATGTGCAGAAGCCTGAGCTTTGCAGCTGTGATTGAGTGATCATAGTCGCAATGTTTTCCAGGCTTGAATGCAAGAATTAAAGAAATTCCTTTTTTATATTATTAAATATGCATTTCTTTAATTTTTGCAAAAGGTGAACTTAGCCTTTAAGGTGTAAAAGCATTACAGAATAATCCCCCTAATTACATGAAGGGAACACTTCACTCCAGAGAAAAACAGAAGGCAAAACAAGAGTGGCAACTAAGGTATGGACTAACTAGGCATAAAAGGAGGAGAAATGTACTTGTGGAAAGTACAAAAGCTTCTATTGAGTGCAATCAGATACAGCCACAGTTACCATGCTTGTTGTATCTGTAGCTCAGTGTGTCTAAGCAGCCAACATCACAGCAGGTAATGCAGAGTGTATAGAAATATATTGAATTTTGCCCTTTCACTGTTGTGCTTGAACTATGCATTTGAACATACTCCCTAGACCCAATCTGGGCAGATAGTATGGCAGCTTGCTAAGATGGTAGACACCACAAGCAGTGTCAACTTGCTAAGAAGACTTAAAGTGAAATCCAATGTAGTTTATTCCAGGTTTTGCCAATTACAATGATGTTTTCTGAGCATTTTGTGAAGGTGAAAGAGCACCACAGAACAATAAACATCCCATTTATATGAAGGTTGCTCTTTACGCTAAAGTAAATATAGAAAATAAATAAAGCATGGGAAAGCAGGGAGTGACAACTAAGGGCTGGCCTAACTAGGGCATAACAGGCAGGATAAACAGTGCAATGTGCCAAGGCATAAAAACATAAGCAATAACCAACAATAAAGTGGGCTGTTGTGGCAGCACAGGTAGCTTAGGACAAGTCCTCAGTGATGTAAGATAGTTAATACCTTAGTGGGGATGTTTGTCATATAGGTCAGCTGTTAAGTCCCAGTTGCTCAGAATTCTTCACCCTTCTGAGCAAGTGATGCCCCTTCATGTGTGCAGCCAGTGATGCCCCTTCATGTGTGTAACAATTTTATAAGTCCCATGTATATCTAATTTTATTTTCTCATAAAATTTGAGTTATCTGGGAAAATTATTTCATTATTTGCACTGCACTTGAAATATCTGCAATTTAGGAGATATACTTGAAGAGTTCTGCAAGATTTCCAGATT